GCTCTGGTCTGGGAGAGTCATCTAGCACTTAATAACACAAGCCGTAGGGTTACAGGATATACTCCAACAGAACTAATGTTTGGCATACGCGCGCAATCTTTAGGGATATCATTAATAGCCCAAAATTCAGACGAGCCGAGATTAGATTTAGACAATATCCGGAATAAAACTTCCCTCAACACTGAAAACGCAGATCAAAAGGAAGTAGTTAAATTTAATAAAGGCAAAGCCCAAGTAAAACCTTCTTTTCTTTCTCGGGGAGATTACGTTTTTGTTAAGTGTAGCGAGTGTTACCAAACTAAACTACAAAGAAAGTTTAGGGGACCTTTTATCGTAATTAAAATTCTAGACAACTATAGGTACGAACTGAAACATACCGATGAATCTAATCACACTTTAAAATACTCTCATGAAAACTTGCGCGCAGTACCCAGAGGCTTTGAAGGGTTAGTTGACATATCCACTGAACTAGGTAATGAGGAGGCCGAGACGGCGGGTCATGGAGTGGAGAGAATGGAAACGAAGCTTTATCAGATGATGAAAGTGAGTAACTCTGATGGCCTCCAACATTGATAAACCATAAATGAGTTGTGTAAGTTTGAGTTGGTGTGTTTGAGGTGGCGATGGAACTGGCTGATGCGGCCGATGTTTCTAGTAGTGATGGATCAAAGCGTGCAGGGGCTGGCTCGATGGAGTCCACGTCCGGTCGACGCTTGATCAGGTTGTGAAGATGGACGGGCTAGCTCGGTGGAGTCTATGTCCGGGTCATCGTTCACTCACATGAGTTTGTCTAGTGGAGATGGACGGACTAGCTCGGTGGAGTCTATGTCCGGGTCATCGTTCACTCACATGAGTATAAGTAGTGGAGATGATGGGGCTAGGTCATTGGAGTCTACGTCTCGATCATTGTTCACTGATATGTGTGTGATGATGCTCTGCAGATTGTGGTAAGACGAATAGTGTCGTCCGGGTCAGATCCATTTACGTTGGCTGACTTGTCTTGGAACCCCTGCAGATTGTGGTAAGACGAAAATTGTCGTCCGAGTCAGAGCCATTTACGTTGGCTGGCTTGTCCTGGTTGCTCTGCAGATTGTGGTAAGACGAATAGTGTCGTCCGGGTCAGATCCATTTACGTTGGCTGACTTGTCTTGGAACCCCTGCAGATTGTGGTAAGACGAATATTGTCGTCCGAGTCAGATCCATTTACGTTGGCTGACTTGTTCTGGATGCTCTGCAGACGGTAGTAAGACGAATGTTGTCGTCCGGTTCAGATCCATTTACGTTGGCTGACTTGTTCTGGATGCTCTGCAGACGGTAGTAAGACGAATGTTGTCGTCCGGTTCAGATCCATTTACGTTGGCTGACTTGTTCTGGATGCTCTGCAGACGGTAGTAAGACGAATGTTGTCGTCCGGTTCAGATCCATTTACGTTGGCTGACTTGTTCTGGATGCTCTGCAGACGGTAGTAAGACGAATGTTGTCGTCCGGTTCAGATCCATTTACGTTGGCTGACTTGTTCTGGATGCTCTGCAGACGGTAGTAAGACGAATGTTGTCGTCCGGTTCAGATCCATTTACGTTGGCTGACTTGTTCTGGATGCTCTGCAGACGGTAGTAAGACGAATGTTGTCGTCCGGTTCAGATCCATTTACGTTGGCTGACTTGTTCTGAATACTTTGAGTATCGTGGTAAGACGAATGTTGTCGTCCGGGTCACATCCACCAAAGGACCGACCTGTCCAATAGTACCTACTAATTGTGAACAGTTAACCTACATGCTGTTAAGTGACAAGGCGTTGTCGTCCGGCTTAATTGTTACGTGATGTTCGTCTTAAGTATCATAGCACATTTTGATGATTGTAACTAGTCGTTTGTCAGGATGCCGAACGGAATAGACACAACTGTAGTTCATTGATCCGAGAACCGCCCGAGGACGGTCGGATGTCAGTCCGGCCGTGACGGCGCATCCGTCAAAAATCATACGTCAGGTTGACCTTTAGCTGTCTGAGGTTAGCCTAGTGAAGCGTCATTGTCGATGGTAGCGTGGGCGGCCATCTTTATTATACAGTTTTCGTTCGGGATGACGCCCGCGCACCGCGCTCGTGACGAATCGCTGTGTATCGAAGTGATAGTTATATCTAGTGTTTCGATTGAGTTGGTGTCGTATTGAATAGACTGTACTTTATCCCTTTCAAAGTATGAGTTCCCATGAAGGCCCTCCTGTTCTTACAACGCCCTCCTACACATATTATCAGTCAATTACAAGGAATTATATTTGATAATTAAAAATTATCGTACATTAAAAATATATTATGGTATTACATTGTTTATAAATGGATAGACCAGATATATTTTTGTTTTCGCGAATTTTAAAGCGCGTAGTGATGATAGAGCTTACGGTCCCTTGGGAAACCAACATCCCCAAAGATCATACCATCAAGGTCAACAAATATTACGAGCTCACAAACGAACTCACTCGAAATAGGTTCGTAGTACATTTGTACGCGGTAGAGGTGGGAGCGAGAGGTATAACAGCTAAATCTCTCTACAACCTACTAAATGACTTGGGCTTGTCCAGAACTCACATGAATACATTCTTGGAACGTACATCGAAGGAAGCCCTAGAAGTTCTTTTCACATTTAGTTAAGTAGAGAGAGAAGTTTGGACAGTGGAGGTGAGCGTTTAACGCGTTAGTTAAGGGGCCCCTTAAACCTACACCTGGGTCGCAAGTCCCAGGCACTGTTGAAGCTCCTCTCCCTGCAACGAAGGACCCGACACCCGCATGGTGAATCCATTGAATGCTAAGAAGTTTCGTCTCGATATTAAATTTTCGTTCAATTGTATATGTGGCTTTTATAATTCGCCAATTATAGCACATTATTGAAATACCTATTATATGCCTCCCGGGTTCGAAACCTTGTTATATAATATACGAACGTTTATACCTAACTGCATTAACAACCTCATACCTATTATTCTCCTTCCTACATGTGAATATTACTTTAAAAATTATATTGCAAAACTAATGGCTTATTATCTAAGGCGGGAAAAATTTCACAATCCAATTTAAAGGGAAGGTTCAATCTATTCAGCCAAACTTTAAAATTTTTTGAATAAATACTTTTTGTTACATTCAATTTTGTCGTTTCAAAGTAAAATTGTATAAGCAATATTTTAATTGACATTATTATATCGGATTACATCGAGAATTGTTTACGCTAACCCAGATTAGGTTCGTTGGCTGTTATAATCTTAGATTTTTTAATTGCACAATAATGAATTGCTAGTTGCGTTTATCGTATGTTTTTTCAATGGCGTGCTAAGAATAATGATTGGTCGTCTTTGTTCTGAGAACATTTTTAGGCTTTATAATTTACATATGAGCGGCATTGAATTTTTAATGTAATTTATCAATTTGATTCAGCGATTCGTTTTGCTTAATGTGATTTCATACATTTTATAATTATTTGCTACATACTAATATATAGAATTAGCCATGGAATTCTACAAATTATACAGGGTGACTGGTGAATTACTATCGATACTTTAGGACGTGATATTTGACGATCATATATGACAAAATAAAAATTAATATAACATAAATATTAATAAACTTCTAAGTAAAATTAACCAAAAGTTATGTAATTAATTACGCATCGTGTGAACACCCTACAGATTAGGTATACACACACACACATACGCGTGCGGCGGCGTGGTGTTGTATCAGCACGCCGGAGCACGCGTCCACACTTGGAACACTTGGAATGTGTCTACACTTTATTTATTTATACGGAAATTTGGTCAAAAATTAAGTACCTATTTTTTTACATAATTCGAATGAGAATCATGTACCGAGTATTCTCCTTAAATATTGATAGTAATTCACCAGTCACCCTGTATAGTAATTGTGATGGACCCGCCACCCGTACGGCGAATCCATGGAATGCTGAGAGGATTCTTCTCATTTGTGCATTTCAAAAAACATTTTGAGTATAATTCTAGATTTTCGCTAATACCTATTTTATATCTCCCCCCAATTTTGCTTTAAACAAACTGCAGTAGGTTTTTAATGCCCATCAATATATGCGAAAAGGGTATTCAGAAGTTCCTAATGGTTATGCTCATTTTTACTCGTCTGCCCGTAATCACGGTTACTGTAAAGTAATCGTAACTTAAGATTAAAATGTAGTAAAGCGTGGTAAATATATCCTAAAACCATAGTTTAATTTAAACATACATATATGTAATTATCTCGCTAGGCTACATCATGGCAAAAAAGTATTTTCTCGTCAAAGTTTTTCAATATTTTGTCTCTTTACTAATTCCTCTACTTGTTAGCATGTACATCTATGACTATTGTTTTCTTTTGTAAATACATAAAAAAATATTTCAATAGATTTATATATTTTTTTAAATTTTATTTTTAAATAGCATGAGGATAGTAATTAATGTGATGACTTGAGGAAAAAGATATTTTTTTTCGTATATGTATGTTTTGTTTGCCAATTATGACTTATTAATTTGGCTCAGCCAAAAGAGAAAACATATTTTTATTGCTTCTAATTGGATAGTGCTTTGTATTAAATGAATTCGATCTTGAAAAAAACTTAAGTGAAGACTAGAGGCAAATATGCATGGATTGTTTGTTAAATGTCACAAGAAAAAAATAATTCCGTAGTGTCGAATTATTTTATCCCCCATATGTTAATAGATGAATCATTACCGTTTATTCAACCTTTTGCTATTTATACGGACTTGAAAATATCAAAATATAATGCCTATTTTTATACAAGGAAAAAACTTCTATTTGTTTTATAGTCATATAAGATTTTAACAGATTGTTTGCAATTGTTTTCAATAGACGTTACTTATAACATTTACAATGCAAAAAACTTTCGATATGCATAGAATTTTAAACTTATTTATGTTGCAAGTCGAAATATTACCCCTATTTATTAGGTTTTACTTATCTATGATTAATTTTATCGTGTTTATTTCCAGGTTGACACTCGGATTACTCTGATAAGGCGGGAAAACGACGAGTGGATGTATGGTAGGTTGCAGAATGGTAGCGAAGGTCTCTTTCCAACCAATTACGTCGAGGTGAAGGTGCCGCTGCCGAACGAACAGTCTAACAGTATAGGCACGGCGATAGCGTTGTACGACTTTGAACAGATGCAATCCGGCGATTTAAATTTCAGTGTCGGCGATAAAATAACAGTTCTATCAAAAATAAACGACGAATGGCACTACGGTGAGTGCAATGGCGCCAAAGGACAGTTTCCCGCCAATTACGTTAAAATGAGTTAGCGCTGTAAATTCTTTTTTGTGAATTTTGTGATTATTTTTTATATAATTGTCAATGACCATACCTGAAACATTAAATTAAATGTCCGTTTATATGTAATCGTATGTGATATTGTATGAAATTTTGTATGAAGACTGATGTTTAAATTTTTTTTACCATCCACGTGTTAATTCTAAATAGACTTTATATGTATGTGATTAAAGTCTATTAATTGAGCTTAAATTGATCTTGTCAAGGTTTATGTCAATGAAGCCATACGTGCAATGCATTATCTCATTTTGCCATAATAAAGTAATAAGATAATTATCGTTTGACATCAATGTTTTAGGGTGCGTGTACACCAGTGGCGTCGTATTAAATTACATGAGAATATTGTGATTAAATAACGAAATTATTTTTTTATCCACTAATGTGATCCTACCCTAATGAGGTCCCGTCTGTCAATGTGTATACGTCTTTATTTTTTTGTTAAGTTTTATATATGTTCGGTTGATCTGATGTTTTTTTTAGTATCCATATACTTTGTTATACCAAAGTGTGGCTTACTATTAATTTTTTTATATATATGAAATGTCGACGTTTAATTTTAATTGTATGACTGTAAATAATTCTTATCGCTACTAATGTTGTGCAAATAATGTAGTTTATTTTTATTTATGCTTTATATATAATCTCGTAAGGCAATAAGGTCCGATGTGCTATTTTTTTATATATGTATGTGAATTCTATTTTATTATATTTTTTACTGATTTTTCATAACGCTTCATAGTTTTAATGCCAAAGGCACTTATCATAGTTTTTTTTTACATGGAAATAATAATTGTAATATATATATTGTAATATGTTCGTTTCGTTTAATTATAAGTAGTTTTATTTCGGTGGGACCATAACCTTAAGTGCCTAAGTATTTTGAACATTATTTGTGTATAGTGAAATTATTTATAATAAATACATCAATGTAATTATAGGATTTTATTTTATGTTTTTTTCCTGTAAAATAAATTTATACAGGGTAACTGGTGAATTACTATCAATACTTGAGGACGTGATATTTTTTTTTTTTTTGTTATCGCGGTGAAATGTTTTATACCTACCCCTCCGTCTAGGGGAGACGGAGGCGGTTATGTGGGATTCACGGCCAGAAGGGCCCATGTTACCCACTAAAACACCAGCGGTCACTCTCCGTTGCCGCCAAGTGGATCGCCACGGGAAACGCCGAAGCATGCATCCGCGACGATCCGGCGGCGGGCCGCGAACGGCCACCTCCCCCCCCGAGGGCTCACTCCAAGTGACCAGGAGTGTCCCCCCGCCTGGCGGGCTTGCTTAATCGCGAGAGGGTTAACCCCTTACCCCTCCCACCCAAGCCCACGCGGCCAGTCTCCAACCACCCCCCGACGAGCGCAAGCGCCCGACGGCAGACAGAGAGGAAACCGACCGACCACAAGCGAACTCAGGCCTCCGGAGAGACCCGAGTATCCCCTCCCCTCCAAGACAGCCACGGACGGCCTCCTGCCAGATCCGTGACCGTCTTTATCCCAGGGCTGTACCCCCAGCCCTCCCCCCCGTGACTGATTGCACCGGAATACACCAGTGGGCGATGGGGTCGTCACGTCCCGACGCCGGACTGCGCCGACAGTGGCCGAGGCCACCCGCCAACACGTAGGGCCGAACTTGGCAGCGGCGGTGTACACCGCCGAGCCTCGTCCTACCCACCTCCATGGGCTGCACCCCCAGCCCGGGCCAAAACCCCACGAGGAGGTCAAGGCCCTTCCCCCCCCGTGACTAATTGCACCGGAATACACCGGTGGGCGATGGGGTCGTCACGTCCCGACGCCGGGAGGACGTGATATTTGACGATCATATATGACAAAATAAAAATTAATATAACATAAATATTAATAAACTTCTGAGTAAAGTTAACCAAAAGTTATGTAATTAATTACGCATCGTGTGAACACCCTACAGATTAGGTATACACACACACGCACACAAACGCGCGCGGCGGCGTAGTGTTATATCAGCACGCCGCCGCACGCGTCCACACTTGGAACACTTGGAACGTGTCCACACTATTTATTTATACGGAAATTTGGTTAAAAATTAAGTACCTATTTTTTTTACATAATTCGAATGAGAATCATGTACCGAGTATTCTCCTTAAATATTGATAGTAATTCACCCGTCACCCTGTATATATCCAAAATGTTCATATGATAAACTATGTACTTTAATTATCCACTTGAGAGTTGAGATTTAGTAGTACATTTTTGACAATAAACAAAGTCGTTTAAACAACTACGTTAAATAAATAATATACATATTTCTACATATGTATAAGATATGTGTATATATATGTGTAGAGTCAGTGGTGGCATAGGGGTTAAAGGCCCGCCTCTCATGCATGAGGGCGCGGGTTCGATCCTGGCAAGTACCAATGTTATTTTTCGAAGTCTTATGTTTTTTCTGAGAGTAGACACCTATTGAGACACCACTAACAGACGGTGAAGGAAAACATCGTGAGGAAACCTGGACTTATAGTTTCACAATTATAAGTTTGAAATTACCAACCCGTCTTAAGTAAGCGTGGTAATTAATGCTCAAATCTTCTCCATGTGAGAAAGAGGCCTTTGCTCAGCAGGTGGGCTCTGATAGGCTGATGATGATGACGAATATAGGAGTAATTGGATTAACACTTATTGGCACTCAAATAAGGAACTTAGTACGGTTGAGCTGTAATAGTGATGTGACCAAACATTAAATATCAGCAAACAGTTCCTATCTCAAAATGTGACACCCGGATATAGATTACATTTCAAATTTTATGATTCAATCACTATTTATAGCAATAATTATGATTCACAGAACTTATTTATTTTTGTATCGCGTGGATCTTTCTTGATATTAATTTAATTTTTTATCTAATCATGTATACAACACGCTAGCTTAATTGGTAAAACGAGTTGATCTTACGGGTTCTTTCTTATCAGAGCATACGGGTTCGAATCCGGGTCTAGACGATGACTGTTTCACTGTATTCTTTCCATTTAATTCAAATATTGGTTTAAGATTGCTTTATTATTAAAATATATTTTCAATAATGGATATATGATAAGAATTGGTAATGTAAATCAGTCCAAGTACCAGTTATTAATGTTTTCAGTACCGTGATATCTGTGGATATACAATATACATAGAAAATTCCAAACATGCTGTGTATGTACTATCGAAAAAGTATTTCGGACAAAGTTCTGATATTTTTGTGATAAATATTCTGCGGAAACAATTATCAAAATAATTGATGAAAGTGTAAACTAATCATTAATAACGAATCCTCAATATAATGAAAACGAAGGCCAAAATCTATAATTGAGTTTTGCAGCCTAACTACAATGAAAAACTCCATTAACTGTATTACTCCTGCAAAAATTTGGACGTCATACTAATTTTTGATGTCTTGGTCCAAACGCTTTTCACTTGTTTTCCAAAGTGGATGCTAAAGAAAGAAGTTATTACAAAAGGTTACGTAATGGAGGTGAGTAATGTCTACGGAATTTTTCTTCAAATTCTATTCAACTCTTTATAGTTTTGCAGGAGTGGCCATTGTTAACTTTTATTTATATAAGAGATTTAGTAGTAACGTTGAATTGTACCGTCTCTTTAGATACAAAAAAAAAATTCGCCAACATAAGATTAAATGGAGGAATCTAGGTCAAATAGTTTCATAACAAATTCTGTTTAATTTCCTCACCTAACGAAAATAAGTTTGATTGACCTTGTTTTTTTTTATTAAACGGCGAAAGCATTAAATACGAGGAAGTTGCGGACACAAAAAAACTCTTTCAATAATTCCAATAGTTAAAATAGTTCAGCAATAAAAGATTCATATCATCACATAGTGACATTTATTATTTGAACAAAAATAATCTATATTATTCGTACTTAAATTATTTACATTAGCTTAAATTACAAATTAATGTCAACATACCCTGTTCGCTTTTCAACCGTTGTTAAAAATAAAGATGGCGGTGGCAAGATAAATTCTCGAGCTGCTTAAAAGTCAAATACAAATATTAAATTCTGTTACAGTAATGGCGACAATAACTGACATAAAACCTTTACAACTTGTTGAAAAGGGAAAAGAGGGCGAATACTTCTAACGAATATACTACATTAAACAATTACTGCCTAATAACACAGTCCCGAAATATTTTCTAACATAATTTTAAGAAACAGCTTTTCCTAGACAGCCAACTTCAATTGTTACATAACAGACATCCCGTCCACTACATTTCATTCAGGTACATAAATACAGAACTATTCGTTTTTGTGTTTGTTGACAAAAATATTATATAAAAAAATATTAGTTTTATTTATTACATCTGAATTCATAATATACTTGATTTTGTTTAAAAAAAATCATTATTCACAACGTTTTAAACTTACGTTATTAAATTCGTTAAAAAGAAAACATGAAATACAATAACTAACATATACATCTAGATAATGTTTTATCTGGAGTAATGTTGACTATGTATTATTGTGCGAAAAATATATTTATATTGCCAAAATTAATATACAACAAAATTTATATTAGCCTCATCTGCCAACAAAAGTATTTTGGAGCAAAAATAGTACGTCTCAGCAGAACCTTAAACTTATTTTACACATTAAGATAACATTGCCTTAAAAGCGACCGCAAGCTTCTATGTAACATCTATAATACATAAAAAAGCTTATAATCTGATCATGATGTATATTAACAATATTCTAAACACCATTTTGATGGGCAGATATTTTTTTGGTTACACTTCAGTGAGTGTAATACACATACATAGTTAGTTCATATTTACATTATGAGATTTTTTAATCCGGCCTGTATATTGGTATTTTGGGTATATATTCTATAAGAAGTACATATTCCATCATTGATGATGAATCGCAGTGTTGCTTTGTGAGACGCCAGCGTAGACCTAGCTTATTGTAAAGCCTGCTATTCTCCCATTCTAGAAGTTTATTTAATGAGTGCTGCGTCTGTGAATAGAATATAAAGAAAAATTAACTAATATAATTACGAGTATTATATAAAAAAGAAGTAATTTAATATTATATTTGTATCATACTTAATGTTTTTCTTACAATACAATTACAATTTCTAATAATAAAACTTATCTTTCTTTTTATTATGTGAATATTTTCTATAAACAAAACAAAAGAATGTATTAATATGCTATTGTACTTATCTACCCTTAAGTTTTAGTGTATATAATAATATATACACACATGTATATGGTAAAAAAAATAGTAATCTAAGAGACTTACTCTTTTACTTAAGCATATAACCGGCCATAATGAGCATCCGAGTGTACAGCAACAACAAACACAGCCACAGAACAGCCATTTAACATTAACGGGTAGAGTTTTCTTAAGCACACTATTAATACGAGCTATAGTGGCTTGATATTCCTCGGGAGCGACTCTCGACTGCAGGCCAGACGGGAATTCGCCATTAAACCGATTGCTTAGACCAAAACTGTAATAAAATATTATATAATGTTAAGAAATGAACTCCTTTTATATATTAAGAATATATGCTGATCAATAGATATTTTTTTTCTATTAAAAGTGAAAGCCGAATTTGTAATTCTAATTAGTTTTTATCAACCTTGTGGAATTTATGTTAATAATGCTTAACTAAATATGGTATTGGTACAAATATTCCACTATTATTTAAGGAGTAAGATATATAATAATTAAATTTTATTTCTTAGTTTTATTAACTTATAAGAGGTTTTAATTTATAATCTTACTACTTCATATGAGGAAAAAGCAAGTTGTTTCTTGACTTTATATATTATTATTTACTTATCAAACTGTTAGTCATTATTTAATTTATTTCAAAGTGTCGTATGTGGCATTACATCATTGAAGCTGAGTATGTTTTACTTAAATTAATATAGCACAAAGAAGTATAAATTACAATAAAATATATTTTTATTGGCTATTATTATCTGTTGAGTAATGTGTATTGAAATTACAACTGACAATTTTACATTATCAAATGTAACACACTTAATTTATAATTGATTTGAAACATAAAATTAATATATACAGTTTTAATAATATGAACTTTGTTATCCTTATAAAAGTTAATTTAATTAACTAATTATTATGTATAATGTAAAAGGCAAAGGTTGAAAGTCATTAAGATAATTTGATTAACATGCAATCTGTTATATATGTTTACATATGGTTTATAAACTACTTACTTTCACATATGCAAAGTCCATAAACAAATAAACAGCAATAAATCTTTGTGATTAAAATAGATATAAAATTACATTAAAAACTTTAAATGTGTCGTATAATCGAAATATAAATTAAACATTCGAGTTTTGGATACTGTATGCCAAGAATGTTCAATGTTAATGAAAACAAAGAACCAAAAATAGATCTGCACCTGGGCGTTATTCAGACGAGCTAGGTGCAAAGCTGTGTGTTAATATTAAAGTGAAAAGTAAACAGCTGATAAATTTAAACCTACACTGTCATGTTTCCAGCACCCCTTATGATGATGGGGTCAGGTACTAATGTCACATGCGTCTCCTCTATATTCTCCTCTGGCTCCGGTTCTTCAGGATATATTGCATCGAAATCAGCCATTTTTATTTACCACAAACTTAACAACCCCCTATACTCGGTTTGAAACACATAACAATATATAATGTTTGTTAAATTTTTACACTTACAATCATTACAAAAAAATAATTAGTGACGTTTTCACAATCATAAATACAAAATACCAGTGTTGCCAGCGTTTTTAAAGCAAAATTCCAATTACAAATACACTATTCTGTTATTCTACAAATAGTTTAGAATGATTTCGTTATATATTGAAAATGTTATCATAAGTTGTAATAAAATAAGCACCTAATTTATGTTGTACCGAAATATTAGAATAACGTAATTTTTCTATGCAGCGCTAGAGGGCGCTTATTATAAATACGATATTCTTTTATTTTTAATCCAATGTTGTTTTAATTAATGTTATGGGCTCAGTCACATATATAGCTTCAGTTTAATTTCGGTAAAAACAATCTTAATTTTTATGTTTTTAAAAATATGAAATTAATACATACCTAAAATATAGATTTATATGATCTTAGTAAAGAAAAGACCAATGTTCTTAGTTTTTGAATGTTGTAACTTGTAATGTGATTAGTTTTTGAACTAAAAATATTTGAGTAATTTTAAAGGTAAATGAAATATGTCAATACTACAATATTTCAGCTTTACTGGTTTTTTCTTTTAAATCTAGCCTTTTTTATAATTCGCCTTACGCTATTGTTGTAAGCATGTGGTTACTTACAAGTGTTAGTATTATTAGTTAAGCAGACCGTTTATGGGTAGGGCATTGTAAATTATCTTATATGCAACATGTACTTGATAAATAAGTCACAGCTGTGACCTAAAACGTTGGCTCTTAATGTTCTTATTTAAGAGAGAAAAGTAGAGATGATAATATATAACGTACACTTATATTTCTAAAAGTAAGTCCTTATACGGGGAGAAGTGATATTAATGAATGACAAAATAATTTAAGATATTGTATTATAGCCATATGGAATTAATTTTTATTTATCTTATGACAACGTATAAAATAAACAACATTATTTTCCTATATTTAATCCTATTATATTTATCATCTATATTGTTTTTTGGCTAAACCCATTATATTGCTTAATTTTAAATTACCACAAAAAGTCGTGTCGAATTTTAAATGAAAAATATCGAAAGTTTAAAAAAAAATCCTAATAGTTTTTATAACAAAATTAAAGGTTTTTACAACAAATAAGATACAGTAGGACCTCGATTATCCGGACTAATTGTTGTCGGTAGGCATCCGGATAATTGAAAGTCCGGATAATCCAATATATGAAGAAAAACGGGCTTCTTGCATATGTACATATGTAGTCTGTACCATACATATAGAATGTTAGGTGTTTATTTAAAACAACAAATACATATGAGCGAAAATCAACGTTTATTAAGAAATTGTACATAATGCACGTATAAGTGTTATAAGTGGCGTGGCGTTATGCAAGTTCTGACATGTTAATCTATATATATAAAAATGGATTACTGTCCCTTAGTCTCACTAAAACTAGAGAACGGCCGAACGGATTTATTTTATCTTAGTCTTGAAATGTTCGTGGAGGTTCAGGGAAGGTATAAAAGCTGAAAAAACAAAAATTCCGCGAAAACACCCTAAAAACAGCGCTTTTCTATTTCCCATACAAACGGGTTTTTTGGCATTAGATTTGACAACTAACTAATATGTCAATCATTCTGTCGCACTTTAGAACACGGAGCTTTATGGCTTAAAGGTAAACTCCAAAAAAATAATTAAGAAATAATTTATTTCTTGATTGAGGCAGTACAAAGTCTGCCGGGTCAGCTAGTGTTAGAATAAACTCGTCGCGATTGGCAGTCCGGATAATCGCGAATTCGGATAACCGAGGTCCGGATAATCGGGGTCCTACTGTATGTTAAATATTTAAATTATATGCGTATAGTCTTGATCAAGATATTACAATTTATGAACTTTTTTATAATTAGGTATACATGTATAGCTGTTATAATAAGAAAAATTTCTTTATTTGAAACAAAAAAATAAATAAAAATAGTTAAATAATATATATTCAACTTTAATAACAATGATTATTAGAAATAAAGTCGAAACATATTCGTTTTCTTACAAGAATCTGATGCAATAATACACCTATTTACTTTATATTATTGCAATCACATATTGTCAGGCTCACCTACTTCCAAATCTTTTTGCAATATCCTTACATTTTAGTTGTTTTAAATATGATGTAATCTTGATGATAATATATATAATTACAATTATAATAAAATCTCTTGTTTTTTTTAATTTATAGTGGCAATATTTATTTTTAATAACTTGGTCGCCTTGCCGTATCGAATAATAAAACCTTTTTTTAAATAAAACAATTACTTAACACATATGTACCTAAATTTGATTAAGGAATTTAGTATTTAACTTTGAAGTCTCAAACATTATGTAGGCAAGTATTTTGCATTAAGTCCGCCCGTGAGTGACCCAGATATTTAAATTATAACATATTAATATGATATCTAGTCTTAGGACATTGTTAGGTATTAATAATTCAACGAAGGGCCGTAGTAGGGTCATGGTAGAGCTTTTTCTAGCTGCCAGTGCTACATATATAAGCTGTAAGACCAACCCTTTGCAGTCACAGGCTCGAGTTTGTCTGCATCCAACACATCTAGCAACTATGAAGGTAAATTAAATATAGTTATTTATATTATTTGTTTTTTTTTTTTTTTATGGTATAAAACAATATATAGTCTGTATTTTTCGATGCCGCCAATTTATGTTTTTTTTTTTTGGAATTGTGTTTGTGAAGCAAAGGCATGTTTATTTTTTTAAGAAAATAAATAAAACCTGTAATGTTTTTAATATTAGAAGACGTTATATTATCCTCTGTCTATTAGAATTTGAATTATGTTTGATTCTCTAGCTAGTGCACGGAAAATTGAAAATCATTAAATAAAAAAAATTGTATACTTAATCTTCGCGGTATAAATAGCTGTTGAGATAAAATTGGCAGTATTTTTTAATGAGAAAGATGGCATATGAGCAGTTGACAACATAAGAGATATTTTAGATGTTTTGCCAGCTTTGATTGTGGAAGAGGGAAAGGAACGGGTAGGAAAAGGAAAAGAGCAATTGCCACTTTCACTCATCAGACGAAACGCAGCCATTTAAGACATCTTCAAACCGATTTTCTTTGAGAGGGCGGTGCTCCCCCGTTTGAACATCACATGTTCGGGCTGTATTTTATAATTTATTGATCACAGCTAGGCTTTACCGCCTTAAAAATTAGTATTATCAGTTTGTTCATAAACTCTCATTGCCTCCAGGTCATCATTTTGTGTACCGCTGTACTAATATCCAGCGTTTCTGCTGGTTTATTATCACCTGCACCCTACGCGTACGCCCGGCCAGCCCTTCTTGCCCGGCCATACGCGCCGTATGCTGTAGCTAAAGTAGCTGCACCCGTCGAAGATTATGATCCAAACCCTCAATACTCCTACGCTTATGACATACAGGATGCTCTCACTGGTAAAGTACAAAAAACGTATTTATAGTACCGATTTTATTATGTGTATTACAGATATATGTAGAAATTAAAACGCACACGCACCGGTATTTTTATTAAAAATATTTTTTAAACATTCACGATGTTAAGATATCAGACATCATATTTATTTGATAAGCAAAGGAAATTAAGAAAGTTAATTTTAATAAAATTTAAAGCTTTTTTCTGTTAATATAATACGAAGAGTAGAATGTTGAAAATAAATCTACGTATACGTAAAATATACTGATTTTATTGAAGAAATGGATTTCTTCACGATAAAATCAGTTTTATAAATGAAAAATATTTTTTATGAATTGCTATTACTTGACGAAAAAACTTAGTCATATTAATTCAATTTCGAGGTCATAATGACTTAGAAATGAGATACGTTATTCCATATAATATAGAAAAGGAATTGCCGAAATAATATACTATAGTTAGTGTGAGAATCAGATTTAAGTTGGCAATATATTTTCTTATATTAATTATTCTCCCAAAGGTGATTCCAAGAGCCAGCAGGAAAGTCGTTCTGGTGACGTCGTTCAAGGCTCCTACTCCCTGGTAGACCCTGACGGAACCCGTCGTATAGTGGAATACACTGCGGATCCCCAAAACGGGTTCAACGCTGTGGTCAGCAGACAACCTCTAGGAGCAGTCGTGAAAGCAGCACCTATTGCTGCTATTCACTAAGTGTAACAATCCTAAATCGTTAAAAGCTATGATATTTATTTGACCTGTACTTCAAGGGGAGCATATAATTTGATTCATCTATATTCTGTGCTCTCTAAATGATAATGTTGTTTATTTTTAATTATTATATTATAGGGTAATAAATAAGAGGAATCTATATATGTTTATTATTGAAAAAACTGACCTAATTTCTGTTTACGTACAAAAATATATATTTTTTTCGTGACGGTAACCGCAGACACTACTATGCTTACGCCGAGTTCGCATCTTTACACAATACGCAGAGTTTCCAGTTTTTCATTAATGAATATTCCTACACTATCGTTTTAACTTAGTTTTTTGTATGAGAAAAGGGCATGGTTACATAATATGTCGTAGTGCAAACTTGTGATAATCACAATTTAATTAGATCGGTAGCACTAATTATGTTTAAATTGATTAATTCTTATTGAACAAAAACATTCGACTTAAGTATATTGATTTCAAATATAAGCTATAATAAAACATAAAACAAATATATATATATTTTTGTTATATATTATTTTTGTTATATATTTTTATTGTATATATATATAAAACCGGTTCAAACTAGTTTTTACCTCTTAGTTGTTATATGCAAGGGATTTTGTGTATATATGTCATTACAATACATATATCTTCAGATTGAGTACGACTTAACATAATATTAAAAAACATATTTTATTAAAGAACATGTTTTAAGAATCTTGTCTAATGTCATTTGTATAAGAAAATAAATGGATCAATGCCTTAGGTTAAATTTATTATAGATGTATTATATATGTAATAATTATGTACATATAAATATTTATTATGTACTTCATATAAATAATCTCTATATCGTATATTGAAAATATCTTAATAGTAAACTGAAAAATTACAAATAAGGGGATTTGCCGATTTAAGTAATAGTGAATTCGTATGGTTGAATGTTTGTGACTTATTAAAACTTAAATGGGCTCAAAACACAAAGTTAATAACAGCAATGAAGTTTCTATACAATTGAAAAATGCTAAGACTTCTGAGTGCATTTTTAAAAAATCCCGTGTTCGGATTCATTGAGTGATTTCATTATGTACCATTTTATCAGAAGTTTCGAATACTTTAAACTAACTGTAATTATAGCAGACGACATGATTATATATTTTAAATAGAATATTTTTTGTATTATTAAATATTCTATGGTAAATAAAACATCTTAAAATTAATTACAACTTTTCCAAAATTTGCTTTAATAAGGCATCGGTCATTGAATTACAATATGAACGCTCAAATTGTTTATCTTTTCAATGTTACACCGGTTTTTAATATTATTGTAAGGTAAATTAATTTGATTTGTTTTATACTTAATTTGAGGAAAAATTAAGTTATATTTTTGTAATATACTTTAAGACAGTTTTATTGTACGTTTCGTCGACTTAAATTGATTCCGTTAGAAGAAATAAATATACTAACAACAAACAAACAGATTAAAAATAAAATTAATCGAATAATATTGTACAAAAATACTTGCTACAGATAATAAATAATAAGCAATATATTTAGGATTGGTATTACTCTTAATAAATATAAATAAGTATCGTCGAATATATTACGAATAACAAAAAAACAAAATAACCGGATTTATAGTAAAGACAAGAATGAGAAGTTTTTCCCAGGTTTAATATATTTTTAGAGAGATATATTACTTAAAACTAATGTAACTTAAATATAAAGCTTTGTAATTAAATCATTGTTATATCCATTATGTTTTAAGGTATAAAATTATCATTCACGGCTTTGAAGCTAAAGATTAAATTGGTCAATTTTCTCAAACGTGGCCGTGACCAAAGTAAATAATGGGCGTACATAGGTGCATTGTAAAACAATCGTGATGTTTTAAAAAAGATATTTTGATATGCTAGTGGTTTAAGGTTCTGGGAATTAAAGATATCCTTGCTGTTTAGTGTACATTTTGAAAGTGAAAGTACCAAATGTCGGTATTGTAACATTGCATCCGCGTTGAGAATGCTATAACCAGATCAAATTTAAATATATGTGAAAAAAACCAATAGGAATATACAATTTTTTTAGTTAACACTATGTACTCTTCATAGAAGGTATAATTTCAATACTATCAATATATATGATTAGTATTTTAAAGTCACTATATTCGATCTGTATAATTTATCGAACATATCCAAGTTCTTTTGTTAAAAAAAACTCCTGCAAATATACAAAGCCTAAACTAGAAGGTCGGTGGAATAAAAAAAGATTTTTAGACTTGCTTCAATAACGAAATGATTATTCTAAAGGTCAATGTTCTTGTAACACTAATTTCGTAAGTCAAATCAATTGTAATTGTTACAAAACACTTCATTGACTGACGATGAATGGATGAATCATCAGTCATATGCAGATCTGTTGTGATGACGTAAAATTATTAAATATGATAGCCATTAAGAGTAAAAACTGGAGAGTAAAATTAAAAAAATATTATAAAGTATCAGGAATAATAATATTAAATAATAGTAAGTGAAATACTTTGTTTCTTTTAAGATATTAAGAAATGTTTTTAGCCACATATGTATATGCTCAGTATGTTTTAAGCCTTCAAATATTTTTGTACATATGACTAAGAAAAGATAAAGATTATTACACCTGTTCCTTTTAAAGAGACTTTAGATAATGTAATTATAACAAAGTAACATGTACCTATATAGTTATTAACGTTTTAAAACTTTAAATTATTAATAATTAATGAATATATTAAGTATCAATTCGAGTACAAAACATTACAAATGTGGTAATTAATAGTATTTTATTAGTGTGTGTGATTGTATGTTGAAATTTATGCGACTCTCACCACAAAATAATGTTTGAGATCATTTTACATTCACAGATTATTATAATTTATTATTTATTTCAATTACATTATAATGAATAAAAATATGTATAAAATTTATATTTTCAATTACTTAGTATTCTATAAAATTAACGATGACGTCCTTACACTATGCTAATAGTTATAATTTATACCATTCAATAATGTAGTTTAAATTAAAAGTATTTCTATAAGAAGTTTTTAGTTTTTGAATTGAATATCTTATCTATATATTATATATACTTCTGTTAATTATAGTATATATAAATCAGTTTTATTAATCAATGATACTCGCATTACAATTACATTTAACTACTCTGTGACAATTCACAAGATCTGCAACACGGAACACTAAGTGAACGCAACGCTTATAAATACGACTGACTTTATTATTTTCGCTATTACTCTGGATAACTTTTGAAGAACATTATCGACATGTTACGGGTAATTATTTATTATTAAAACATATAAATTTATTATTATATCTTATAAAAATGTTATTATCTTTCCAGATAGTTGTTTTCGCGTGTATTCTTCAAAATATCGTTGCTATAATAGTGACTGATTCACCACCGACAAGTACCGAGTATAATTATTGGTATAACATCATAGATCCTTCTACTGGTGATACTAAAAGTGCTCAAGAGATCCGGCAAGGTGATATGGTGAAAGGAAGTTACTCAGTGGTAGATCCTGATGGAACTAAACGTACAGTTGACTACACGGCTGGTGGAAAACTCGGTTTTAAAGCCGTCATAAGGAATGAGCCGACGAATAATCATTTGTCTAAACGTAATTACAATATTCCCGCTAGAGGTTACTTATATCCAGTGCCAGTGAATTCTAAAGCTCCGATGCTCTCAACTAGCAATTTCATTAAATACACAGATTATTTCACACCAGGAAACGATACTCCGACCGAAAAAAACAGTTTCAATAATGGTGAACTTTTCATACCTAATTACATGAACTGATTGGTATTTTATAATCACGTGAATTTAGTGTTAGTGATATATATTTAAAATTATTTTAAATTGTGATACTATCTGTTATAAAGGATGATATATATAAAAGTTTAAGTAAATAAAAATTTGTATGAGACATTTAAATTATTTCGATCTCTTTATTTGTGTTTCGAAGTTTCGAGGTGAACAAAAAAAAATGGATTAAGAATGTGTTTCTAGAATATTCAGTGTAAGAAATTGTAAGGACTTGGGACGGCTTTTTCTTTTAAGTCATGATCTGACTCAAGGTCTTCGGATGTAGGTCGGTAACGGGTGGGGCAGTTGTACTTTATAAAACAAATTCACTTTTCTTTAGAATTAACCTACAAATAAATTAAAAATAACTCTATTTGGGACTCATAAATACTTAAACTTTTGTTCCTGTAATGTATAAATGGGTATAAATAAAATGACAAACGGCTGCACTTAAAGCATCACATTTGAACCACTTGAGATTCCATTCGTATTTTTTGCTACATTTAACTTCTTAGACATTTGATCTTTATCAAATAAAATTAATTATAATACATTAATTCAATATAAAACTATTATAGTTTTAATTAACTACGATTATTTACATTTTATTACTTTATCGAAAAGGGACGTTGTTGATTTTGGGTACAATCCATTTATAATAAAACCATTAAGAACAACTTCAATTTATTACATATAGTTTGGTGAAAGAAAAACAATGTTTATTAAATATAATTGAATATAATAATATATATTAAAGCGGTGCGATAGGACACAATTCAAACCAGTAGCCGCAACCGCATCGCTTCGGTTCGCCGAGATGTATCCACATGTATTCTATGTGGTTTGTATCAGGATAACAGACGCAGCCTACCAGACGTTTCTTGAACGCACTCGGGATGAGATTCGGCCTCTCCCAAGTACCTGGCCCTGAAAAAGACTAACACCTTCAGATTTTTCCAACCCTTAAAATATACAACATAGTTTCATAACATAAACATACAATTTAAACCGATAAACCGATTTAAATAGATAACCTCGATATTATTTACAGATTTTACTGTATCAAATACGATGTTAAATATAATCCGACAGTCAAGTTGGAAAAGTATAAAACTATTTTTTTTCTCTACATATAATAATTTATAATTTAATTTGATCTTGGTCGCATTTTATCTACTTTGAATTTATTAAGAAATCTGATTTATATAATTAATTCTATGTTAGTATAAAAAGCATATTATATATCTTTTATTGTGACACGTTTATGATTACCTATAATAATTGACAATATAAGCTATAAAACTTTTTAAATATAATTGAATACAATAATAAATTTTAAAGAAAAAGTGTTTTAAATATAATAGTAAACTTGTGGCTAAGTGTTAGTAGAATATATGAATGTTACTTAAAAAATTAGGGACTGTAATAAGCTTCATCAAGAATTTCGAGCAATTTTCTCAATTGAGTTACTTTTCATTTGTTTCACTTATTATAATAAAACTCTATGAGGTTTTATAAGAGGTTATTTTACACACTTGTAGTATAAAACAATATTTTCAACCTATTCATAGTAATTATACTTTTCTGTCGGACAAGTTTTTTTTTATGCCTATGATCTTAAAAATAATTAAATTTAATATAAATACACAGATAATAAAACAATTGTTCTTTTTTTAAATAACATTATAACCTTTTTTGATGGCCATAATTCGAAACGGATCACACTCTCCAGCCATATGAGCAAGGAGTTCTCGTTTCTCGATGCCCGTGAGCTGGTCAAGGGTGTCGTGAAAACGACTGCATATTCTGCTCCCAGCACGAGAAAATGGCCGCAACGATTTAATTACCCACATCCTAGAAGTTTAAACATCATATGAATAACAAATAATAAGACATATGTATATAGATTTGATAATTAAAAATAGGCTGAAAATATTGGATAGAAGTTATTTACGGAATCTAATTGTTAATTATTTCCTCTCAATTATTGGAATTATCGTTTAAATACACGATTTGCAATAAAAATGTCGTCTTTAACGCCTTATTTATTTTCACAATATTCAGGATCGAAACATGTAATGTCATTTTATTTTGACACAAGTATTATACATGTTAAGGAGGTTTTATAAGCAAATCATTATAGGTGTTATATAAATCAATACTGTACATAAATAGTGTTTGTTTTTAAGTATACAATTAGATTAATATTATAATAATACAGCGAGGACATTTCATAAGAAAGCTGCTTACCAATGACATGCAAGTGATCTTTATACTTGATTAAACAGACATACTCTGAATCCATGATAATACTGGAAAGTTAAGTTGGTATTAAATTTGGAGGGCCACAATCGTGCTGTCATACTTTTTAAATACGCAGCTTTATATCTCGAATGTCGGCGGAATGGTACAATGCAACGCCCGCGGCAAACGACTTCAGTATAAAAAGTCCGTCCAAACTTATTTCTGTACATTCATATTGAGGTATCCTCATAGTAAAGTCAATATCATCACTAAAAATGGCTTTCAAGGTATTAAATAATAGTTGTTAATTAAACTATTATTCACACTTTACTCTTATTAATATTGTTTATTTAATTGATCTTTTGTTTCAGTTGGTCGTTTTAGCTTGCGCTATTGCTGCCGTCCAAGCCGGAGTGGTAGCCCCCGTAGCATACTCTGCATACCCAGCGCCGGTCGCATATGCAGCGCCAGTCGCGCATGCTGCTCCTATCGTTCACGCTGCCCCAGTCGCATATGCTGCTCCCGTAGCTAAAGTAGTAGCACCAGTCGCTAAGGTCGCCGTCGAAGAATTCGATGCCCACCCACGTTACAGCTTCGCTTACGACGTTCAAGACGGTCTGACCGGTGACTCCAAGAGCCAACAGGAATCCCGTGACGGTGATGTAGTACATGGATCCTACTCGGTCGTCGACCCTGATGGTACTAAGCGCACTGTGGAATACACAGCTGATGACCACAATGGCTTCAATGCTGTTGTACACAAAGAGGCTCTCGCTGTTAAGGCTGTGGCTCCCGTTACTAAGATCGCTGCCCCAGTAGCCTATGCTGCTGCTCCCGTAGTACATCATGCTCCTTTAGCCTACTCAGCTGCCCCAGTAGTGCACCACGCCCCTCTCGTCCCAGCCTTAGTCCACTCCGCGCCTGTCTACCACCATTAATTCATATCAACAAAACTAGTCAAATATGTTACCGTCAAGTTATTTATTAAAGGCATTCTCCTATTGAATAAATTATATTAAATGATTAAAATATTTTTATTGTTATACAATTCTACCATCCTATCAACAAAGAGCGAATAATTTCATCAATAAATGCATTGAAAAAAAGACTACAAAAATGGTCAAACATAGATAAAAGATAATGAAAATAAAATCACTCATCTACTACTATCTCACTTTAAAGGAACATTGTTCTAGAATAATTCATATCAATCGAAAACGGAATCTAATCTATCAATAGTTTCTTCTTATAACTTATAACTTACATATAACTAAGCAAAAAGCATTCAACCATTGAGTGAATGAAACAAAAATATAATTCAAGTGAATTAAATTCATTCATTATATTTTTAATAATTAAAACTGAAGTATTGGTTTTCATGACTGTAAAAATCGTCTGAACCACTACACAATTTGAAGCTAAGTAAAATATTATCTAATTTTTACACAACAACATTACGAAACAGATTTAAGAATATTATTTTAATGTGACCAATGCAAAAAACAAAATTTTTACTTCCATCTATCGATTACAAAAAGATCGATACCTACTTTTTTTTAGAACCGCATGACAATATGTTTTTAATAAAGAGAATATATTAGATGGTGTCTCTAGCTGTACAATTATATTTGGGCTTTCCCTCCTAAAATTGCTTTTAAATAACGAAAATCCATCATATTTTAAATATTAAACACAAATTAAATTTGATTAATTAGTTAAACATTTGATTCATTATTACGCAACGTGTAAAGTGTCGGATATGTTCATGATCAAAACCCACTTAAGAAGTTATGTATGTACTTATATTCTATTATTTGTAAAGTGCAAACAAGATAGTTCAAGCATACAGTGCTTACAAGGAGTTTTCATCTTCACGATACAATATATGAAGCTTTAACAGTTTTTCATTAATTGGTTGAATTGAATTGGTTGAAAAAGTAATCAGAGTCACTTCATATTGCTCTACTAATGCACGATTGTGGTAAACTTACAGTGCAATATACTTTATTGATATTTAATGTATTTATTTACTTCTTAGTTTCATTTATTTCCAAAAACCTTTACATTTAAAGCTTAACACAACTTATAAATTATAATCTCTCATCATACTATGTATATTTAATGAGGGAATAATAAATGTATACGACCGAAATAAAGCAATAATAACACATTTTCGTTTTTTGGCGATAATATTAGCAGTGTTGGAACGCTAATTTTAATTTTGATTTTTTCTACCTCTAAGACAAGAAGAATAATAAAATATTCATAGAAGTGTATATGATGCAAATAAAATCATGTTGCGTTTAATTTGGCTTGTTAATTTGACTTAAAATCTATAACAAATGGCATCTAAGCTGACACGAATAAAAACAGATTCCTTTTGAACATTATTGTTAGTATATACTCCAAGAAATTGCTTTAAAACTCAAAATTAATTTCAAAATGCAATAGCATTATTTGCATAATACCTTGTAGCGATAATAAAAGTAAAGTCCAAGATAGTAAAAGTTTTGCCCTAGAATTCGGGATCAGTGAAAGATTATTTTAAGATTACATCATACTGTTTATTAAAGTATGTTTTTCGATAATTAGTTATATTTGCAAAGATATTTTTTTTTATACGGTATCTAGCAAGCAATAGGATATAACAATACATTTTAAGGCTTAATTCTTTTTTTTCTTTCGAAACGTTAGAGATTTCTATCCAAACAAGATCTTAATAAGGATTTCAATTATAACCTTTGCAAATTTAAAAGAAATAATAATCACTATACGTTACATCTTCTAACCATATCTAAATCAAATTAATTTAGATATTACAGTTGTGGTATGAGTATACGAAGTATTGATTATTAAAAATCTTTATAAAAAACATTGTTTTATAAGATGGATTTGGAAAAAGTTTTTCCCAATAAAATGCGACAATTTCATCACATCGTAACAACTTATAAAAAAAAAGAATATTGAAAAGTTACATATAATCTCTTTATATGTTTTCGGTCGCAACAAATTAATGACCTTTCCAGGCGGTAGTCCTTGTAACATAACAAGCGATACGATTGAAACATTGATCGTGAAACATGTCATCGTACCGAGTAGGACACGCCCCGGACGCTTCAGGCTTGTATAAATACTCCGTACTGATACATGACACGTCAGATTCAATCCGTCTCTATAACACAACACTTGTTAAAATGGCATTCAAGGTTTGTGATTACATTTATAGATTTTATATTTATAATAACGAAATATTGTAATTCAATAAAAGTGTAATTGAATGTTTTTAATAATTATGCCGTTCATTATTTTCATATAGTTCGTCGTCCTTGCTTGTTTGATGGCCGCCGTCAGTGCTGGCGTAGTTCCAGTGGCTCCCTTATCTTACGCCGCCCCAGCTTACCACGCTGCGCCTGTGGCTTATGCCGCGGCGCCTGTGGCCAAGTTGGCATACGCTGCGCCTGTTGCGAAGGTCGCAGCCGTAGCGCCCGTGGCCAAGTTGGCTGTTGAAGAATACGACGTGAATCCTCAATACAGCTACGCCTATGAGGTCCAGGACAGTCTGACCGGTGACTCCAAGAGCCAACACGAGAGTCGTGACGGTGATGTCGTCCAAGGCTCCTACTCCGTCGTCGACCCTGATGGTACCAAGCGCACTGTTGACTACACTGCTGATCCTCACAACGGATTCAATGCTGTAGTCCGGAAGGAAGCCATCGGCGTGAAAGTAGCAGCTCCTGTAGTAGCTAAGGTAGCACCTGTTGTACACGCCGCTCCTCTTGTACACGCTGCTCCTCTTGTACACGCCGCTCCTGTTGTACACGCCGCTCCTGTGTCCTACGCCGCCGCCCCAGTGTATCATTCTGCCCCTGTAGTACACGCTGCTCCCGTTGCCTACTCCGCTCCTCTATATCACCCCTGATTGATCCGATTATTTATATGTCAACTGTAAATAAACGTTAATATTTATTAAAGTATTATCTTTTAATTCAAAACTGTTTTCTTCTTATATGGATGTGGCAGATAAGTCGATCAGTTAAAAATACTAAATAAGAAATTTGAATCTTCTACGGGATGTAAAACTAAGATATGCCCAATGAAAATGTTGCAGACGGAATTAACTTAAAACTGAGTTCATCTGTTCATTAAGTGTTTGCGCTTTGATTTAGCGTGTTTTGTCATAAGAATAAATGTGTAATTTATTCTAAATCCTAATAATATTAAGATTTCTAATAACATACATGGAATGGACCAGCTCTCGCACGGTTAATCCGTGTAATGCTGAGAAGTTTCGTCTCTTTCGCGAGTCGCTAACTAAAATAACAATAAAACTACCTATATAAGGACTATTTGTAAACCTACTTATACCTATACATTTGTATATAATGCGTCACCAGTTGGACAATCGGTTTATAAATGTTCACTTATTTATTTTGATGTTTATAAATTTTAATGGTAATTTAAATGATTATATATTTTCAAATTTTGACTTTGCATTATATATGTGTTTATTGTTATAGCGTCGTTCTTAATTAAAGTTATTGTTATCAATATTATTGAAATAATTTATTATATTTTGTTCAGTTTTTTTAAGGCGATAGAGTCTAGCTGAGGTCAAGTAAATACATCAAGAACATGGGCTGGCTCGAGCGGGGAAGTACCACCATCTTAAAGAAGATCGAGAAGTACAGAGAACCGTTTGCCCTTTCCCTGTTCCCACCCTTCCCTGCCATCCTCCTCTTCCTCAACATCCAAGGTTGGCAATGCATATCCAACACCTTATGTTGCGAATGTCCATGGGCGACGAAGACTACTTCCCACCGAGTAGGCCGTCTGCTCGATTGCCACCTTTCACATAAAAAAAGTTTTTACTTCATGATTAAGTAACAATATACCTTAGTGCTGACTTTTTTGACATTGGTTTTTATGAAAACATATTTATGTACAAGGTTAGGTCCAACCTTTATATTTAAAGTCCGAAATGTATTTTACAATATTTTAACTTTTAATTCTAACTCTAATTCATAAAGTTTTGTTAATAGCGATAAAAGGTAAATAAACCAAAATGGCAATTTTTTATACTTTTGCTTACTTTTTGCTTTATTAAGCAAAATACTAAAGTTAGTCTTTTTTTATTTTAAAGATTGAATATCCGTTTTAATAAACATCGGTGAAAATACTTAATTTATTTTTAATACCAAATTATTTATAAATACGCAATATTTTTTTAAACACAGTATTAAAAAAGAACAACATATTGTGCTTTTACAAAAAAAGATTATCACTGGACGTAGGTTTGATTGTTAATTTTGCCATTTATTTGCATCCTTAACTTTTCTGTTCATGGCATATTCTTTTACAAAATGTCAATTATTTTCTTTACCGGTTTTTAGCCGATAAACTAAAATAACATTTTGAATCATACGACGCCTCCAAATTGATATTAAAATTGCTGGATTATTAACTATTTTCAAATAGTAAAAATAAATAAATAATAATACTAACTTTAACGACATGTTGTTGGGATAAAACAATAAATAATTACTGATTTAAATGCAAGTAATAATAATATTATATAATGTAATGCGAGTAAATATGTCATTTATTTTAACTGGCTTAAAGAATATATTTTTTTAATTAAAAACAAATGCAAAATTCGCTCAATAATGTAGGAAAAATAAAATACTATATTACCCTTTTTTTATTAATTTCATTTTGTACAATAATATAAATATTACTCTTGTAATTACGTACTTAAGCATTACGTACATAAACAAACCAAGAATTTTTTGTGTAACAGTGTTACCATATATAAATAAAATTAATGCAAACGATTCTTTAAATATTTTTTGTTTTGTACATAAAAACCTTCCAATTAGGCTTGAGGTAAAAATTTAAATAGTACATATTATGACGGTAATGTAACATTTTTACCTATGTGAGAAAAATATAAAGTGAAAGCTTCTAAAAGTTCTGGACACTGTTTAGCAATTGTAACATCGCATTCAAAGCAAGTTGTAGAATATTCAGATTAAAACAAAAACAAAATGAAAAAGGAACTTCATTGCATAATTTTTATTGATTGGTATATAAAACTAATAGTGCAGATCTGTCTGTTTAATTTACAGAAGCATTAAGCTTTATTTAGATCAGTAATAATGTTACCATTTTAATTTGATCAGACAATGACCTTTCCAGGCGGTAGTCCTCGTACCATAACAAGCGATACGATTGAAACATTGATCGTTACACATGTCATCGTACTCAGTAGGACACGCCCCGGACGCTTCAGGCTTGTATAAATACTCCGCACTGATACATGACACGTCAGATTCAATCCGTCTCTCTAACACAACACTTGTTAAAATGGCATTCAAGGTTTGTGATTACATTTATAGATTTTATATTTTTAATAACGAAATATTGTAATTCAATAAAAGTATAATTGAATGTTTTTAATAATTATGTCGTTTATTTTCGTCTAGTTCGTCGTTCTTGCTTGTTTGATGGCCGCCGTCAGTGCTGGCGTAGTTCCAGTGGCTCCCTTATCTTACGCCGCCCCAGCTTACCACGCTGCGCCAGTGGCTTATGCCGCGGCTCCTGTGGCTAAGTTGGCATACGCCGCGCCTGTTGCGAAGGTCGCAGCCGTAGCGCCCGTGGCCAAGTTGGCTGTTGAAGAATACGACGTGAATCCTCAATACAGCTACGCCTATGAGGTCCAGGACAGTCTGACCGGTGACTCCAAGAGCCAACACGAGAGTCGTGACGGTGATGTCGTCCAAGGCTCCTACTCCGTCGTCGACCCTGATGGTACCAAGCGCACTGTTGACTACACAGCTGATCCTCACAACGGTTTCAATGCTGTAGTTCGGAAGGAAGCCATCGGCGTGAAGGTTGCAGCTCCTGTAGTAGCTAAGGTAGCGCCTGTTGTACACGCTGCTCCTCTTGTACACGCTGCTCCTGTTGTACACGCCGCTCCTCTTGTACACGCCGCTCCTGTGTCCTACGCCGCCGCCCCAGTGTATCATTCAGCCCCTGTAGTACACGCTGCACCCGTTGCCTACTCCGCTCCTCTATATCACCACTGATTTATCCCATTATTTATATGTCAACTGTAAATAAACGTTAATATTTATTAAAGTATTATCTTTTAATTCGAAAACTGTTTTCTTCTTATATAGATGTGGCAAATAAGTAGATCAGCTAAAAATATTAAATAAGAAATTTAAATCGTCTACGAGACATAAAAGTAAGATATGCCCATGAAAATATTATAGTAGGAATAAACTTAAAACAAAGTTCATCTGTTCTTCAAGTGTTTGCGCTTTGCTTGAGTGTGTATTGTCGTAAGAATAAATGTGTAATTTATTCTAAATCCTTATAGTATTAAGATTTCTAATAACATACATGGAATGGACCAGCTCTCGCACGGTTAATCCGTGTAATGCTGAGAAGTTTCGTCTCTTTCGCGAGTCGCTAACTAAAGTATCAAAACCAGAAATAACAATAAAACTATATAAGGACTATTTGTAAATTGTATATACCTATATGTACATATTTAACGCGTCACCAGTTGGACAATCGGTTTAAAAATTATCACTTATATCTTTTTTTATTTATAAATTTTTATTTTTTAGGTATATCATTTCAAATTTTGACTTTGCATTATATATGTGTTTATTGTTATAACGTCGTTCTTAATTAAAGTGTATATCGGTATTATTGAAATAATATTATATTTTGTTCAGTTTTTTTAAGGCGATAGAGTCTAGCTGAGGTCAAGTAAATACATCAAGAACATGGGCTGGCTCGAGCATGGGACATACCACCCTCTTAAAGAAGATCGAGAAGTACAGAGATTCGGTTAACATTTCCCTGTTCCCACCCTTCCCTGCCATCCTCCTCTTCCTCAACATCCAAGGTTGGCAATGCATACCCAACACCTCTTATGTTGCGAATGTCCATGGGCGACGGTGACTACTTCCCACCGAGTAGGCCGTCTGATCGATTGCAACTTTACATAAAAGAAAAGTTTAAACTTCATGATTAAGTAACAATATACCTTAGTGCTGACTTTTTTGACATTGGTTTTTATGAAACCATATTTATGTACAAGGTTAGGTCCACCCTATATCTTTAAAGTCCCAAATGTATTTTACAATATTTTAACTTGTAATTCTAATTCTAATTCATAAAGAATTGTTAATAGTGATAAAAGGTAAATAAACAAAAATGGCAATTTTTTATACTTTTCTTACTTTTTGCTTTATTAAGCAAAATACTAAAGTTCGTCTTTTTTATTTTAAAGATTGAATATCCGTTTTAATAAACATCGGTGAAAATACTTAATTTATTTTTAATACCAAATTATTTATAAATACGCTATATTTTTTTAAGCAAAGTATTAAAAAAGAAAAAAATATTGTGTTTTTACAAAAAAGATTGTCACTGGACGTAGATTTGATTTTTATTTTTGCAATTTATTTATATCCTTAACTTTTCTGTGGATGTTATATTCTTTTACAAAATGTCGACTATTTTCTTTACCGGTTTTTAGTCGATGAACTAAAAAATCATTTTGAATCATACGACGAGTCCAAATTGATATTAAAATTGCTGGATTATTAACTATTTTCAAATTATAAAAATAAATAAATAATAATAGTAACTTTAATAAGAACAATATCATAAGCGAGATCCTAAACGACATGTTGTTAAGATAAAATAATAAATAATGACTGATTTAAATGTAATAAAAATAATATTATATAATGTATTGCGAGTAAGGATGTCATATATTATAACTGGCATTGAGAATATATAATTTTTTTATTGAAAACAAACGCAAAATTCGCTCAATAATTTAGGAAGAATAAAATACAATATAATCCTTTTTTCTTAATAAATTTCGTTTTGTACAAT